CAGCCAATTCCACCCAGCCCAGCCACTGCACCTGTCTAACCCGATATTCATCCAGCCAGCCCCATGCCCCCAACAACCCCCCAAGCCCCCTGCCACCACCCAGCATGCCACCCAGCTCTTTGTATCCATACAGCTTTCCCCATCCATCCAGCCAGACCTTGATCCATCCACCCCACCCACACATCCCACCCACACCCCACTGTGTGTCCATCTACCCCTCCATCCACCCACTAGCTCTATGCATCCATCCATCCCTTGCCTCTCTCCCTCCATCCGACATACTCCTCCGTTCACCTATCTATCCCACCCTCCCTCCATCCCCATACACCCTTCTATTCCTCCGATGCCCCCCCACCCCGCCACACACACACACTCTCCATCCATCCATCTAGGGATTCTCCACCTTATAGCCTGGGGTCACATGGGCTCCAAGCATGAAAAGAGAAGGTGGAGTCTGGGGGGTTAAAGCAGGGGGCTGGGAACCCGGACACCTGGGTTCCCTCCCAGCTCTGGGAGAAGAGAGGGGTTTGGTGGATTAGAGAAGGGAGCTGGGAGCTAGCCAGTGAGTTCTGGTGAATTAGGGTGGGGTGGGGAGAGCTGGGAGCTAGGACGCCTGGGTTCTCTCCTCATTCCCCACCCCACTGTAACCTGGCCTCCTACCAACAAACCCGTCACAGATCTAAATATTTGGCTTTGCCACATGGTCGGGCCAAGGGGGACAAAGGTTGTGCAGGAAGCAGGGGGGGGGAAAGGGGTCTGTGACTTCCCTTACCCACTTTCCACAGGCACCCGGACCCCAGCTCCTCTCCCCTCCAGTGAACAGCATAAGTGCTGGCCTAGCCCTGATGCCAGATACCCCCAGTGCCACCCACCTGCTGTGGGGAAGGGCTTAGTCACCCCCTGCCAGCCAGTGCCCAGCTGAGGGCACCTGAGCATAGACATGACCTTGGTCCCCATTAACTAGCCAAGGACAAAAATACCTGACCCGAGATGGGAAGAGGGGTTTAGCTTCCCAGGAAGTCCACTGGAAGGCACCCAGCCCCAGCGTGATCCAGGCAACCTGGCCACTGGTGCAATGAGGTCACCCCTGGATTCATAACAGGGCTCTGGATGGATGCCCATCCACCCTGCCCCCCACACCAGGGTCCAGAGTCCCCACCCCAGCACCCAGAGCCCAGGAGGGGAGGTGCCTTTTCCCTAGCACTTCATCCCATAGGAATGTGCTGTGTCAGGCCCGAGATGCAGCTGCCTCTGGGGCGGAGCTGCATGCAGGACGCTTTCCCCAGCAAGGGGCTGCTCAAAGCAGGGTAGTTATTATAGGGATCCTTGCCCAGCACTGACATGAAGTCACCTCTGGGGCTGGGAGTTGTTCAGACAGGGCCCCCTGCTTGTCTGGTGTTGAGATGTGGCTGCTTCTGGGGTGGGATGTGGGAGAATTGCAGGTTTGGGGAGACAAATCTAAGCAGTGGGGGGCTGTTTACACAGGGACCCCACCCTCATCCAGCACTGAAATGTGGCTGCTTCTGGGGTGGGGCCTAAGGGGCACTGTATAACCCTCCCTCACTTGCCTAGCAGCAGCACGCACCTGCCTCTGTGGTGTGCACACTGGGGATCCAGTTATACAGGGGACCCCTGGCCTGGCACCAAGATGCAGCCACCTCTGGGGTGGGTCATGGGTGGGGGCTGCCTACACCTGCCTCCCTCACTTCCTGGGGAAATGCAGCCACCTCTGGGGTGAGAATGGTTCATCCAGCTCACGTGGCCTGCTGGATCCTACCCGCCCACACAGATCACGAGGGAGCCTCCCTCTATGACGAAAGCACCCCCCCAA